TTCTAACTAACTCTCTCTCTCTCTCTCCTCTCTCTCTCTCTCTCTCTCTCTTTGCACCTTTTAGCCAACACATTGTAGCGTTCACTTCGATAATGTTCGTCGGAGGCGCATAGCTTACGAGTCAATTGAAGCCATCCTCTTTCTCAAAAGATTGAAAACTTGAATCACAAAGAAATCGCATTCGAAATGCGATAGAGATACTCATAATATTCTTCTACAACATTGATTACGCTAAATTTATTCGATCGAGTTGTATAAATTGTAAATTTCAACACGCCGCTAAATTCTTCCTTACGTTCGAGTCGTCGAAATTTCTGAGAGATATCTATACCTTCTTCAATTATCGAATCGAACGTATCCGTCTTTCGTAACGAGAGTTCCTCAATTTTTATTCTTTTGGCAAAAAAGTTATTTTTCGCTTGAAAAATTTCCTACGTCGAGCCGGTGTGAGTAGACCTCGATCGTTCACGATCACTCCGATTAGAGCGTTCTGGGAACCGCTTTTGCAAGCTACGCGACTCCATGGTCCAAAACATACACACGAAACATGAAAGTTAATTATGGAAGTTCGTAAATTAGAAGTACTACACCAATTTTCGCGTCAGTGCCCGATGTTTTTTCTCGTAGATGTAACATATAGAGACGTAGACGTTCTACGATAGGGACTAAAAATCTCTTCCCATGTGCGTAACAAATCTCCCATCTTACTCGAATCCGTATGTTTTTTCACGATCTTCTTGAATATGTCTCTCGGTGTCTTACGAAAAAAAAAAAACACTGTTTAACAACATCACGGAATGTATACCCTTCCAGGATTTCTCCTCCCTCTAAGATTCTAAAAACTTCACGAGATTCATTCGCCGACGTCTAAACGTTATTCAACTTTCAACGCTCTGAGCTCCCCCCGTTATTTCCTTCTGTATTCTCTGCGTATAATGCAACTTATTGTTATGCGATGGAAACTTTCGTTCGAATATGTGGTCCTATCGGTGCTAAGTGTACGAAGTACGGTGTCTCCTAAATCTCGTGTATTGCGTTCGTCCCGTTCGGCGGGGATAATTTGTCAAAACTTTCGCATAACCGCGCCCGAAATTGCGAGGAGATCGACACGTTAGACGACACGCTGGACGTTCATATATCATGCCGACGTAGAAAACGTAAAAACATTTCGAAATATCGATATACACACGTGCGATGAAATTCCGAGCGGAATAAAAATTCGAAGACGAGATCCCTTGTGCGCGCGATTGTTCGGCGCGGCCGATGCGAAAGTTGCGTGGCGGAATTTTTGTATTGTAGCAGCGTCAGTCCATAGACGATCATATTATTATTAATCGTTAACTTAATGTCATGTCTCAGGACACAATTGATTAATTTATTGTTTTCCGTACGTTTTTTTTTTTGCCTACCCTCCCCCCTTTTTCTTTCCTTCGAAAACACGCAATGCGTTGTGTAACGTGTGATATACATGCTGACGTCGTACAAAAGAGAGAAAAAAAAAAAGAAAATGAAGAAAATACGAAAATCAAAGCGCACTGTGCGTTTTTTTTTTTTTCCTTGCGTTCTGGTACCGACAGGGAACACCGGTAAGATATTAATGTTGTGTATATGGTGATCGTGAGGTGTTACAAAACTTTTATTTGCTTTTACGCCTTATACATATTTACTGTAAGTGATAATTATTACTAGTTGTTTATTATAAATAAGAACGAATCACTTGTGTATCAGTTAAATTGCTACATTAAAATGTTGATATTATACTCGTTCAAACTGCGTCTCTATCGATTCCCTTCTTCAAATCTTGCTTCTAATGATAACAGCTACGCTCTCCGATATATTCGATCGAATTTCGTCTCGAAAATCTATTTGCAATCGAACTTATTAAGATTGTCTTTTCTTCTAAGTTAAGCGCGTTTTATACTTTCGTTAAGCTTCTCTTCATTGACGTTGAAGTATATATTAACTATTGTTAATTTAATAAAAGTAACTTGGTAATAATATAAGTAATAAAATTGTATTAACATGGTGTCGTGCACCCAAATGTGGGAAAGCGAGTCTACTCTATGCCTTTTATATTAACTCGCATAAATTTCCTTGATTATCAACATTCTTGATATCTCGAGTAAAACTGTGAGTGCTAGAAAAAAAAATATATCTTCACGGGTCTTCGATTTTCGATTCTCGAATGGGTGAGAGGGGGAATTGGGGGGATGGCGCAAACATAGAAAGAGTAGTCCAACACGGTTTATCCTGCTAAATGGTTATCAATTCTATAAGTTCTGTATTGTTTACACATAAATTAAAGAATAATATATCTAAACGCTTTCTTCTTTTTCGATGTCCTGTGAAATTGTACAATAGAGTTACAAATAAAGATAAAGCCATACTTTACGTACAATCTGATATTCAGTCTTTGCTAATGTTACGTAATAACGTGCGAAAGAACTAATTAGTTAGACTGCTATGTTAATCAAGATTACCGGAAGCATAAACCTATTCAGCTAGCTTTACACAAGATATTGGTCTTCTTTTTTTTTTTCCTTTTATGAAATCGTCAAATTTTATGATTATGATACAACATTTCTACATTATCAGCATTGAATCTAATCTTATTTATCGCGACACTCCTGAGAAACTGTTAATCCATTGTTTTGATGAACTCGATCGCAGAGCAGAACTGCGTCCACCAGTACTGTTCCTCGCCCTCCAGTCGATTCCCATAGAAGCTGTCTACGTATTGGACAGTCGATAGCAATGACGGCGGATTGGTCTGAAATTTGTGATTACTTCAATACCTAGCACGAGTTAATGCGATCGATTCAGCGGAAATTGATAATCCTCTTTCGATGATAAATATCACTTTTTCAATTCGATACCTAGACAACTAGTGTGGTTTGGACATATGGGACACATGCGGGACCGAGATATTCATCAATTGGACGCTACACGAGAGACGAAAAAAAGGCCGTCCCGGAAAAAACATGAAGCGACGACATACAAAGGGACAATAAGAGAAGACCCCGGGAAGATCAACGGAAACAGGAAGCGGTCGAAAGGCGTCGGTAGTCTTTATGAAACGGCATATGCATACACACCTTGATTATGACGTAGACTAGCACAGGAATCAGGTCGTCGGCGGCGGGGATTCCCCTTTCCGACGCCATGGAGAGGAGATTCATGATGGTGGTCGCGCAACGAAACACACACTGCAGTTTGTCCCTAGGAGTTTTATACGCCGATATCACAGCCAATTCAGCCTGCGCCCATGGCCAGGGGCATTCGTAATGATAAACCTTCGGAATGCGTAGGTCCTTGTGATTCGGAGTTATGACCTTCGCCAACTTTTTGATGTGATCGTGAAGAAGCTGGTCCCTGTACACATCCCCATCTCCGTTCGGGTAGAGCGCATTATGGTACACCCGTGCCATCACGGTCCTTTCCACCACGACTCTCGCCAGGTCCAACTGATTAGCGCTCGCCGCTGAAGAAGAATTCAAAAATGTACTTAAATTGTTTCGCAAGCGGATCGATCGATGAAATAGCGCTAATTATATTTCGTGTACATTGCCAGATTGGATCGTTGTCCATCTCGGCGTGGATTTTTCCCAGAAAATTATCGACAAGATCTTGCTTCTCGTCGGTCAGCGTGAGTTTCTTAAATTCGTCGCAGAAGCGCAAGAGAAAAGCCTCCCTCTTTTCCAAGAATACTCGCACGCAAACGGACACGAGATGGTTATTGATGGCATCCCGGTCGCACTTGACTCGCTCGCACAACCTAAGAAATAACAGAGGAGATATCATTGTTTAACGGCTGCACTTTGTTTTAGCTATACACTTATCGGAAAGTGATATATCTGTATAAAAATAGTGTACCTATCTAAGTGAGCCAATGTTGACAGCAATCCTTGGCGACATCTGATTAAATACGCGATATAAGGTGATCGCTTTTGATAATCTTCCCGCAGAGACTTGAAGAGCTTTCTACAGCCGTCGTCATTAAATAGGCGCACGCAACGTAAAGTTTCATGAAGATGAGCTATTAACGATCTATCCTGCAAGTTTATAGCCTCCGCCAACTGCAGCTGCAAAAACGCGACCAGTTCGTTCTCCTTCTGCGACCAACAGTGTCTCTGAAATACATTTATATTGAGTTTTGTACACAGAATGAAAAACGGATACAAATGTTTTAGCATTGAGTGATCCTGAAAGCCAAATACTTCATCTTGTGGATCATAAATTGTGCAATCTAAAAATGAAAATTATCATTAATTAATAATATGAGTACCTCAGAAGTATTCCATGGAATGTGTTGGAGGTCAGCAGTGCTAAGTACCATACGTAATTTTCTCTTAGCGTCCGCGAAAGCGTAGGACAGCTCTACATTATTCGGATCGATCGACAGCCTTTCGTCTTCCACCTCTTTTGTGCGAGACTGGTTGCTTTCGACCGAGGCTGTATCACTGGCCGCACTTGGTTTCCTCCTGTACTTTGCTAATATGTCATCGGTGGTGTCTGAAATTAAATCCACAGATTTATTAGATTATTGTCCAGTGCAATGCGCTGTGTACAAATCATCCATTAATATCCTACCGCCTGCAATGTTACTAGATGCTGTTACATCTTCCGACATGATCCTGCGCAATCTGTGCCTGCTGCATATATCGACGCCGTCGCCACCGGCTTCTCGATCGTAGCATCTCTCGTCCGTTCCACGAAACGTTTTGCCTCTGCGATTTCTCAGCGACAGCTTCAGCTTGCCAAAGAAACTGCGTTTGTTCTTCTGATCGTCGTCCAACAATTCCTTATCGCCGCGCTCGGCCGTCATGTCGAAACTTATGCTTTTTGGAATGGCACCCGTGGATGCGTTCGGCTTGGAAAAGTTGGTGGTCGATCCATCTGTTGTATCGCAGTTGCCGTTAACCGTCGGCGTTGGCAATGGCAAATCCGACGTCGAATTGTTGCCCTTCATTCGCGGCTCCGATCCGGAACTGCTGCTGGATGTTAAGCTAGCCGTGCTGAGTCGGCCAACAGTATCCCCAACCGACGCCATGCAGCCGTCCAATTCCTGAATCACGGCATTCGCGTCCGATTCGTAAGACACTTTGTACGGCAAAAAGTCGTTGAACGAATGAATTAAGAGAAAAATACAAACCTCTGCCTTCACGTTACCGTTTTGCGACTTCTCCGGCAGAACAGGCGCGGAAATATGATTAGCCAGCAGCAACGCCGGTGCGACCGCAGCCGCAGCGATGTGATTGTGCGCAGTTGCCTGACGCTCGGCTTGCTTATCGTTGTCAATTTGAAGCTTATCTATCAAGTGGACCAGTCTGTCCTCGCGTAACGGCTTGCTGTAATCTGTATTGTTTATATTGTTCGCATTTTTATCTACGTATTCCATTGTGCTGCGTCGGTAATCGGACTTGGTTCCCCCGCGACCCGTTACGTTGGATGACGACGGTAACGGTGACGTAGTCGGTGATAAATGAACCGCTACCGACGATCCCACGCTTCCCCCTCCGCTTCCAGCATCATCTCGAATCCCAGAAACGGACGAAAAATTGATGCCCGAGCCGTCTGTACCTGGAATCGTTAAGTATACGATTAAACGTCACGATTAAGCGTCGCTCGGTAACGCAATTGCTGCACTTACATGGAGTGGCGGACTGAAGCGTTTCCTCGTTACCCTCGGAATCAGCGCGACTCTCTATCTCAATCTCGGACCTAGCAGTATCGTCAGATCTACGCAATGAATATCACAAGTGGATAAGTTGTGATACTATCTTATTTCGACGATTAAAAAGAGATATCTTAAAGGTTATGTAGTAACGACGTGTAGAAATGTACCTAGCAACACTAGCAGTGTCATCCGTATCGACTTCGGTCAATCTTTCCGAATCACTAGCCAGCACATCCGTGCTCCAGGCTTCAGAGGCGGTTTCACTAATGTCTAACATATTCGGCGTAGGCTCGACCGGCAGAACAGGCGCGACTTGCTCGGGCGGAACAGGGAGCAGTATTCGATCTTGTTGTTCAACTATTTCGCTATCTGAGGCCAGTACATCTGTAGACCAAGTATCGGATACCATAGAAACAGTCTCGTCCCCTAAAAAGTACAGATACATACGTAGATTATGAACAAATCCATGAGCAACAAAGATAAATGGTACGAATCACTTAATAAAATTTTTCATCCTGGTTTGCACTAACCTTCAATGAGCTTTTTGATCTCAAATTTACAAAACTTGTCGTCAATTTCAGACCTACTCTGCTTAGTCGGAATATTAGGCGGCGGCAAGTCCAACTGCCTTACTTCACCCGCAACGCGTCCATCGTCTCCTTCAGTGATTTGGGACGACGGTGTATCTCGTCCTGGCGTTACATGCAAAATTATGCGACTCGTAGAAATATGAAAATGGTCATTCAATATAAAATGTTGAAAAAATACAGCAGGATCAATATACCTGATATATTAGGAGTTCCTCGTCCCGACACATTAGCAGACACCATGTCTGACAGATTATCATTTTGATCTTCTGTCTCTAATTCCAGGGACGAAGCGACGCTGTGATTGGAAGCAGCTTCTGACACAGCTTCCAAATTATCGGACGTATTGCCAATTGACCCTTCGAACAGTACTAATTATTTTTAATGTAGATGCGTTATGATGGTTAAACAATGGTCTCAAATAAAAAAATTATTTTTTATGATCGTGAAAAATATTGCAGCGAGAGGAAGCTAATTATAAGTTTAAAAAATTCTGTAATGAGTTACAATGAATACAAATTCAATGAAATGTGCAAATGTTAGTTGTACGCTTCTAAAAAGTATAAATACTACAAAGCAATCAGTATGATATTCGTTATCAATAATTGATATACCTTCATCATGTGACAATGAGAAACGCGTTCGTTTTTCTTGCGTTTCGATGCGTTCAACGTTGCCATTCTCCTGTCTAGTGTGTTCGACAGACGCATCGTCCGGGAGATTCAAAGTAACTGGTCCATTTTCCATGCGACTCTGGAGCTCCATGCATAAAACCTTGAAATAATGAGGGAAATTTAATTTAACGATACTTTTCAATTGCTGCTATAAAAACGAATAGACAATGTTATATTACTGCATTAACATTTATATAGATTTTGTAAAGTGATTAAATGAGAATGTTATCAACATAGTTTTATCTTAAATATATAATAAGCAACAAACACACAACCTGCGGGAGATTATTATATTAATATGTACATACTTTCTGTTCACTCAACAGTCCTACAGACTCTCCGATTGTTGGGCCGAAAGGTATCACTAACACATCTTGAGAATTCTTATCCAAAGTTTCCTCTTCAGGAGCAGCAGTGCTGTTAATTTCCTCTCCACCTTCATTTGTCGCGTTTGGTGAGAATGATGCGGTCATCCTTATACGTCCTTTCCCTAAGAAATAATTTACTTTGTTAACACAGTGTGATGCAATAACTAGGATATATTGTTATGTCATTCACATAACATACCTTTCCCAACAACACCTCGTTTAGTAGGTGTTTCCAAATACTCGTTGTTCGACTTATTATTATGCAGTGAACCTGAGGGCAATTGCGACAGCATCTCCGCTAATTGCTTCCTATCGAATGTATTATGCGATATTGCTTCTCCGTTGCTGTCACCGATGACAGTATTCAAAAACATAATTAAGGTATCCAGTTCACCTTCTGTAAAGAGTGCTGCGGATCGTGACAGGCCTTGAAGTTTATTATTGTCAATGATTGTTGGCTCCTCTTCCAATTCCTCCGTTGCGCCGTCCAACATCGAATCTATTATGGAAGACACCGAATCCTTCTCGAATTTCTTGTACAGATCGATAACTTTATTATCAACACTTTGATACTTCTGCAGCGAGAGCATCTGCAAAATTTGTCCGACCTGCATGAGATTAAATCGCGCGACCTGGCCTATCGGCGCGTCGGTGATACCGTACGGCTCCGGATTGACTATAGCAGGACAGATGAAGTATGTGAATACAAGATCGGTGCACATGGCGTGCACTTCTTTCGGATCGACATTGCCGTTCTTGGTGAAAAGTCCTGCGATTTGTCTTACTAGCCAGGAAACGCTCGTGGGAAAGCAGTGCATCGTTTCGCGAATGTTGACGATGAATCTCTGCGTGATGCGATGCAGAGAATTGATCGTCCATAATCTGTAACGCTGTAACTTCGCTTGATACTCAGGCGTGCCTTCTTTCCCGAATTTCTTCAATCTTTCCGCAGCTGGATATCTGATAGGCATTTTGTCCGGATCGATGTCCAGGTACATTTCATCCTCCATGAGCAATTGCACGATAGGGTTATGCAGAGCCGCAGTCAGGAAGAGCTTTGCGGAAAACAGACTCTCGTGAAAGATCGAGTAGAATCTGGAGAACGTGCCATGGCTGAGCAATCTTCGTGGGTTGTCAGACGGAATTATCTGCAGCAGCATAAGATGCCTAAGCAATTGGAGCACCAAGCTTTTATCTTCCGGTAATATACAGCTGCCGTATAAGCCAGCAGCTAAGCACTGTACAATCATCTGCATTGAGTCCGGAATGACTTTGTCTCCTTCGACCAGACACGAAGCGAGCAGCTTGGGTGATTTTCGCAATGCGCCCAAAAATTCTCCATAAGACAAGCATGCTTGATACCGCAGGTACTTATGTGCATCGATGAAATGCGAATTTTCCAACGCGTTCGCTTTTAGGCAACACGAGGCTGGAGTGCAATCTGGCCTTGCTACTATCAAACGATTCAGATTCACTCTCTGTTGAGCAGTTACCCATGCTTGCTGCGCTAATTCCGACGATATATGCAAGACCTAGAATAAATAGAAACTTGTTAAAATACGTTGTTAACATATCATGCTGCGGCATAAATTTGCATTGACAGATCTAACAAGATATCGTAGATAGATAAGGTAAATATCTTAAAATATCAAAGATTTATGCAATTTTTCAAATATTATACCTAATAACAATGCTAACGTAAAGAAAAATACAGACATTACTCACTCGCTTGTTAAGTGTTTGTAAATTCTGCTGTTCTGAATTAACAAACAGTCTCTCTTGCCGCAAATGACGGGCTAATTCCATCATGTCCCACTGTAGCGTCCCGTGGGAATCAATACTGTTTATGGATGACATTATTGGATGTACCTACGACATTAAAGACACCAATTACCAAAGATAAATAATGTGCAATAAAATTATGCGAAAAAGTGTTGTCAGCAGCAATAGTTACTTGCGTACAATCCTGTTAGTCAGTTATCCTGAGCATTAATAATAATGTGGCAAAAATGTATACGCAGGACACTTCACAGTGAACCTCAACAAAACTTTCAGGCATATGTTTTGCTTCCCGAATTCACGAAAACTGCGCGCGAAGAGTATATCGCTTCACCTAACAGAGCAAACAGAGATTTCAATTTGGGCAGAACAGTCAGTTTTGAATATTGCATAATGCATTAGCAAATATGCGAGCATAGTTTTCCGCTGATATCATGCAAACGGATTTTCAAGGCTGATACAATGCGATTACCGTCCCGTGCAAATTGTTATACGTCGAGTACGACGCAAATACGCTCGCATGCGTACCGTCATCGCGGAAATACGGATTCGAGTTGTTATTGTTGCGCTCAAATTCGCGTGTCAAACAGGAATAATCTTTCAACGCATCTCGCTTTTATCGCTCCTTCGTCACGTACATCTACGCGTTTGCCGAACAGGAAGTCACAAATCCAGACCGATGTTCAACACTTACGCGTTGTCAATGACAATGATCGCACGGTTTGTTGTTATCATTCGCCAGACCAGAACAACACCCCCTAATGACACACGATCATTTTCCGTTTTCAGGTTAGATTTTTTTCTACAAATGGCCGCAGGTGTTGTGCATTCAAGCACGGACGGAGAAAGTGGGAGAATGTATGCACTGCAGTGACGCCAGATTTTAGACGCAGCAGCCAGCAGCATGAGGGAGGGAACATCGCACACATGCACAAGCCACGTACAATACGCTTCGACTAGCTTCGGAAAGAGCATAATACTAACATATATATATTATATGCAAAGATTATATATATATATATAATATAACATACATACATTATATGTATAATATTATATAATATAAGGACGTCCTCTAAAAACGTCCTACAAAAGACGTTTTTTAATTTCTTTAACGATTGACGTTTTGAATTTTGCAACAAAAACTTTCGAAAAATTTAAAAAAAGACGTTTTAATTATTTAAGTATTTTACGAATATGTCACAAAAGTAGCCCAGAAGCGAACATAAGCATGTAGAAAAATTAAGATTACCCGCTGAAACGGCCAGAAACCATTTTAGCGGGGATTTTTAAAAAATGTTGACAGGAGCACATGATGATATAGAAGCTCACTCATAACAGTCGATACACTTATCATCAATGTATTCGTAATGTTGCTTCAGCTAACCAATAGATGGCACTGTTCCGAGTGGCTCCTGCAGCATCATGTGCTCCTGTTAACAATTTTTCAATTCCGGCTAAAATAGAGCGTTTCTGGCCGTTCCATAAACGTGATATGTAACCTCTCAATTTAACTGCACCACTTTTTCGTGAGCTTTATAACAAATCAATTTTTATAGAAATAATTTTAATTGAATTGTGAATACGATAAACTTATTGTATGAGAAATTTTTGCAGTGATTATTGGTTGGAAATATTGATTAAAAAATGTGATATTATGTTGTATATTATAAATTCACAATAGTGTAACGAAAGTGATTAAAAGAAAGTGACAACATTGCATTTTAACACCCGACAAAAACAGTACGTGAAATCCACGTTATTGCCATGTGGATCAGTATTGTGGAATCCACATGGATATTTGAGTGAATAATAAACGTTTTGTAAGATTGTGCGCCGAGATCTACCGATAGGCGGTGCCAGCTCGTGGCTGCCAAATTTGGCCGACAACGATCAGGAGCGATAGGCGATTATTGCGCGAGCGCGATCCTGCGCAATAATCGAGGAAGGATCGAGCTTCCCCGAAAATTCGAGAAAGTTCGGTCTAGCTTTCCTTATTGGAAGAGTAAGTAAAAATCACTCTCTATCGCCGAACTACATGGAACAGTCGCACAAATCGATAAAATATAGAGGGACAGTCGGTCCGGTATATTAGCACTTTTGGACTTAGCCGAAATCTCAACTCTGTACTTATAAATTGAAATTATATTGTTAATAGTTAAAGTAAATTCAGTGTCGAATCATTTAAGAACCATCCTGTCGTTTTTCTGTTTTCGTCGAAGTATCATCGTTAATAAATTAAACAAAATAACAAGGGTCGCGTATAGGACATAACCGTCGCAGTCGTTTGAATAATCATTGAACAGTTGGAATATTCCTTTTAAGTACTTTATTAGTTAAAATACATCGTGTCGGAACAAGAACTGAATTGCCGAGTCGAAATAAGGAAAGAGTCTCGAATATCTTTCAGTTTTATTATTGATCTAATAAACGTTTATAAGCAGACGCCGTCTATAAGATGTCTATTAGACGTTTTTTTCGACCTATATTTTTCACTGGGTATAGAATAATATTTTCTTGTTCAATACAAGTTTACCTCACCTGCAATGTGTACATAAATCAAAATATTTATAAATGATTTGATTATCCACACATTAAAAATCACATTGCGATAAACACAATGATATACCTCAATGGATCAATTATTATCTTTAGTAGAAATTTCTACATGAAAATTACATTTCGAGAATAAAGTACTTTGATGTAGTGATGAGAAGAAACGTTGCAAAAAGAAAATTGCATCCATAAATCCATGAATAATTCGTGGATAAATCTACATCTACGTAGTCCACATAAATTATTGGATTCGACATGGATGTGACGTAACTGTTTTTGTCGGGTATTTGTACCATAATGGAGAAGGCTTATATAGAAAATTTTCTGAAGTTAAAAATATGCTGTGATAATCTGATAAAAAATCCAAGTAAGGATCATGCATATAGAATTGTGAAAGTAGCAAATAACATCCCTACTGAGGTCCTGCAAAAATTGTTAGAATATTGGTTATTTTTCATTGTTATCTGCTTACGAATTAATAGCGTAAGATAATTTATAACATGATATTTTTGTTATAATTTCTCATGTCATTGTTGTGCTTATCATTTTTTTAATTATATATTTATATTTTTGCAGTACAACTATAAAAGAAGAATTAGTAAGGATGACTATGACAGTTATCATACAAGAGATAAGAATCATAGAATTGAAACATTTTAATGATATCTATGGATCTCTTCCACAAATTTATGATAAAAGTCAGCCAAATCTTCCAAAAAAGTAAGATAGTATTTTAAAATTAATTAATTTAATTTAGCAGATACCTCAGAGATATATTACACAATATTACAATGCGATTGTCATTTTGAATTTTTGACACATGTAAAATATTAACTCAAATTTTAGTGTGCTGAAAATTATAAGCAATAATTAATAAATTTTCAAGTAACAAAAGTATTGTAAATGTATAGACATTCTAAAATTTTGTTCATATAAATTTATGTACCTCTATTCACATCAAGTAGAGGCCATATAAAATGTCCGATGAGGTTAATTAAATTTGTTAATTTGAATTTTCATTTGATAGAAATTTCGTATTTTGTAATTTCTTAATTTTTATAAAAATATAATCGACAACTTTGCTTCTTTGTTACTAGATGGATAAGAAAGAAAATGATCAGCAGCTTTCGCAAATGACCATTGATTCACCTACTGTAAGCAGTGTCAGTGAAATAACTGATATCGATGTGACAGTTACACCTTCAGTGATATCCAGCGCTACGGGATATTTGCCTTCATCAGCGTCAATGCGAGCTTCCGCTGCCGTCCCCAGTGTAGGTTCTGATGTAGAG